CCCCCGCCACCGTTCAGCACCAGCTTGTAACCTACCCCCGCTGCCAGCCTGGGCCCCGTGCCAGCTCCGAGCTCACCCATCAGGGTGGTGCCAGCAGCTGTGGCCCCCCCCGCTTGCCGCACCGGGCAGTATTTGCCACCACCACCTCTGTGCTGCTCAGCGTGAGAGCTCCAGGCAGCCAGTAGCAGCAAACACTGCCCGGCGTGGCAAGTGGGGGGGGCTGCAGCTGCTGTCGCCACGCGTAGCCCTGACGGGCAAGCCCAGAGCTGTGCGGGGCCCAGGCTGGCAGCAGGGGCGTGTTACAAGCTGGTGTTGAGTGCGGGAGTGGGGAAGCGGCCCCTCGTCCACCCCGTGGCTGGCGTCCCACACAGGCAGCCTGCATAGGGCTGCCTGTGCCTGCTCAGGACAGCTCCGCACGGGCTGCGAGCAGCTACAACGTGGGGCATCGGCCATGGGGGGGGTGAGGGGCCAACTTTCCCCCATGCTCAGCATCAGCTCCTTCCTTGCCGGCGAGCAGGGGGTTAGGGCTGAGTGCTGCCCCCCGCCTGTACCATGGGGCTGGGGGGCAATGGGAGTGAGCGGGAGCATGGGGCCCACACCAGTGTCCTGGGGCCAGTGTCAGTGGGACCCAGAGAAGGACGGCAGTGGTACAGGGTCTTGGCCAGCAGGGGCTCTATGGAGCCGGGCCGGCTCCCGCCTCTCCCTGCTGGTGTAGCCCAGCCTGGCTTCACAGACCCCTGCCAGCCTGCGCCCTGCTCTGGGCCTCACTGGCGCTGGCCTTGGGACATTGGTCTCAAGACATTGGGACACTGGTCCCAAGATGGTGACCAGGGGGCAGGGCACCTGTCAAGGGGTGGGGCTACTCATGTGGCCCTCGACAACTTGCCACAACTTGGTAAGCGGCCGTCTGCCCGAAATAATTGCATGCCCCTGGTGTAACATCTGAAAGACCCTTTTCCACTCTATCCACCCAGATACAACTCATCCAGGACCACATCACTTTGCAACTGATTAACTGCAACATACTCTTCTACAACAAAACATTGCTACAAAGGTAACTACTGCTTTAATTGCAATATTCTTTTCTCTGTCTTTATTCATCAGCTTCCTCTTCTCCAGCACAAACGCACCTGCTTGTCTTCATTGTCAAGTCCCTTCCCAGTCAAAAGGAGAAACAGTAATGCTAATGTAAAAGAGACAAAATTAAAGTACTGTGGACACATTCTAAGAACAGGAAGAAAAAGCCTACAAAAGAATATAATAGAAGGTTGTATGCCAGGAAAGAGAAAGAAGGATGGACTAAGGAAGAGTTGGCAGGAAAACATGGAAGACTGCAATATAGATTACATACAAATGCAGTGCCAAGACTGCCAACAAACAGCCAAGTGGAAAGCATTTGTCCATTGTGGCACAACTGCTCTTGACAAACATGGCACTTAATCCCACTATGCCCATCATTTCTCACATGCTATCTGGATGGTAATTCCTGACTCAACTCAACCAATGATGCCTGCTTTCAGTGCTCACTATCTCCCAGGATACCACTGAGACAATGGAGAAGGTCAGTTAAGGTCTGCATAGCCACCCTATCTGCAAAAATGTGATCATGCTCAAGCATATGTCAGCATTCCCCTTTTTCTACCTTGTCTGGTCTATTCATTTGTTGATTCTCGTTTCATATTCTGAATGCCAGCTTTTTGGGACAGGGATATATATTTTTTACTATGCATTTGTACAGTGAGTTGGCACAAGAATGTCTTGACTGAAACACCTGGGGGTTACCACAGTACAATTACTAAAAAGCTTTAATAATACTTAGCAAGTTCACAGGACCTTTCATCAGAGAATCTCAAGGTACTTGTCAAACTATAGTTAAGTAAGGTGCAACACACCCATGTGGGTGAAGTCATTCCTGTTTCACAGATGGGGAAACAGAAGTGCAAAAAACATTTAAAAAACTTGCTGAGGATCACGTGTTAAGCAGAAAACTCCTGCCAGTAGTCTAACCACTCAAATACCTGCACAAGCACTACTTGAAAAAAAGACCTTGCAACTCAGTACTGATCTACAACAATTTTTATCCACCATGCACTACTGTTTTCACAAGCAGACTTTTTTCTTAAACAATATCAGGGGTGTGAGAAAAAAATACAGTGACACATTTATAGTTTTAAGAACTCTGCAGAAGACAAGGAAAAAAAATGATGCCTGAAATAGATTAAAAGTGAGCATCAGTAGAGACCTGGCTGGCAGCTTGGACTTTTTCATGTACAAGGCAGTTTCATTGAGAAGGAATGTGTTCTACTGCTCTGGAAAGATGCAGATCAGCGGATCTCCACCTTTTCAGACTCAAGGCACCCCTCAATTGGCTCAGGACACCCCTTGCAAACTACCAGCTTTGAAGTTTTTTTTACTTTTTTTTTTTTTACTTCAGAAAAAAAACACAACAGAGCAATTCTTCTACAGCAACAAAGCTCAAGTAACACAACAGCTCAGAATATCTCCAGGACCATGAATTCCTATGGAAAATCCCTGGGTTCACCCTACAAAGCAGGTCATTGCTGCTCACAATACTACCACCAGTGGGAACCCCACAGCACCCTCGAAAGGCTCTTGAATCAGTCCCTGGTTGAGTACCATTGATGCAAACAGGCAGAAGATCCAAAAAGAGCACGCCCACCTATGCAGGCTGGCTAGTGACAAGTGAAAGCATCCATGCCTCCTCCTCCTCCAGACTAAATAAGCCCAGGTCCCTCAGCCTCTCCTAAGACATATTCCTCAGCTCTCTAACCATTGTCGCTGCCTGCTACTGGAGTCTCTCCAGTTTGTCTCTCTCTCTATATATATATATCTATCTCTATATAAACATCCATCCATCCATATCTATGCCTAATATTAAACATACACACACACACGTGTGCACATTGATATGTGTTTATATGTACATCTTTATGTCAACACACACACAGTGTGCATAGACAGACAGATGTACATATAGTTAAACACACAGATAATGTTTATCTCTATGTACAACGGTCAATAATATAGCTATATTAGATCTACTGATCTATACACACAATCGCGACTGATATATTTTGTCTATACACACAAGTGTGTGTGTGTGTGTGTGTGTGTATATCTCTATTGATCTCAATTGATCTGTCTGTACACACACACACACTTGTGGCGAATCAGTCACAACTGATAAACATACACACACAGTTGCATGTACAGACCGATGGATAGATCAAATATAGCTATACTAGATACAGACAGATGGACATGTAGATGTACATATAGATAGATACGTGTATGTGACATATGTATCTAGATCTACCCATATCAATAGAGGTATCTCTCTGCAGGTGTGTGCACACACTTGTGGCCCTGGCTGAGGCACCCAGACGTCTTCCCTCCCTCTGTTCTGATCCTGGCGCTGACCGGGCACCCACCGGGCACCCACCATGCACAGGTCCAGCACTCAGTGCTTGGGGGGGCTTTAAAGAGGCCGCCACCCTCTTTGGTTGCGCCCACCCCAAACTTTAACAACTGCGGTCGGAAGGTTCCAACGGGAGGCGGAGGGTCCCCTCCCTTGGAA